ATATTAAAGATGGCCATGGTTCCACTTTGTTGTAATACCTCTATCAGTTGACAGTGGAATATTTAGTAGCAAGGACATTTCACAGATGGACATATTGCACAGGTGGCAACCTATCACAGTGCCATGCTTGAATTCACTGAGCTCCTGAGAGCGACCCATTCTTTCACAAATATTTGTAGAAGCAGTCTGCATGCCTAGGTGCTTGATTTTATACACCTGTGACCATGGAGGTGATTGGAACACCTGAATCCAATGATTTGTCCCAATACTTTTGGCAATATAGTGTATATTAAACAGAGCCGTCTATATAGAGCTATTTCTGAGTCACATGCACACTATGCTCACAAGAGCTAATCGACTGTTTCCTGGATTTCGAACTCTTAGTCCTAAAATATCCATTCACTTTTTCCAATAGGACTTCAAGTGTTTCCCTGTTTGCAAACAAATTATATTCCTAGAGATGGCATTTGCAGCACAAGGATATATAGTATTCCGGAAATATTAGTAATTATTGGATGGTACCTAGTGGCTCCACAGGCATGCTGGGGATACTATTAAATATTTTTAGGAAGGGGGGTTTATGTCATATTTGTCATATTTTGGTTTAATTATGAAGTACAATAAAATTGTGACAATGTTTTGGCAAGACTTTTGTTGTTTGAGTACCACTGGTACTGGAGGCCTGCACATTTTGTTTCTTTCTACAAGTAAGCCGCATCTGGGTGTAAAAAAGGTAAACTAACTCCCGGCTGCTATAGCAGCTGATAGGGAATCACCCGTTTTTTTCGGAATCGAGTACGAGTTTTTTTCGGTACTCACCGATACCGAATACCAATACCGGAAGTCCCATTAAGGAAGCCAGGCGGCGTGTAATGACTCGCCACCTGGCTTCCTGATTAGCCGGGAAGCCGGGCGGCTAGTATTGGTATCGGTGCATCCCTAGCAGCTGATAGTTTGTTTAAATACCAGTTCTGCCACTGCCATAATAATTAGACAACAAAGGATTAAAACATATTAATACTTTTTAAAATATTGGATGCAGCAAGGAAGGGTTAAATAGGTTAAAATAGGTTTTCATTGCCGTCTGTATCTCTGCTGGGTAGATTCACCCTGCCTATTTGTTCTGGTGACCATTGTTAGGGGGGCAGAAAATGATAAGTCCAATATGTTACAGTTGACACCAGATGAAGAACAGAGGCTAAGGCTTCTGATGAGGACAACTGTTCAGGTGACAACTGTCTAAGAGGGGATTTTTTATGAGTAATGATGCATTTAGAAACATTTTTAAACATTGGCATATAATTGGTTCTAGGGATGCACCGATATATCGGCCGCCGAAACATATCGGCCGAAAATGGCACTTTTGGCATAATGCCGAAAGAGCCATGTTTCGGCCGATACATCGGCGGATCCCTGGTTTCTTTTCTCCCTGCCGAGCGCTGCACGACGAGAGCGCTTGGAGCGGCCAGCGTCTCTCCTCCCACACCGCTCATCCGCCTATCACAGTCCGGCAGAGCGGTGTGGGGCAGAGACAGCGCTGTCACAGGAGGCTGGGCTTTCCTCTCTACACTGCTCGACCAGCCTCCTGTGACAGCGTGTCAGAGAGAAAAGCAATGTACACACACTCAGTGATCAGTGATCGATGAGTGTGTGTACATAATTGAGGATATGTTATGTTAACTATATCCTCAATTATGAATGAATGGGAGTGATCTACATCACCCCCATTCAATCATAATTGTGGTTATAGTAAACAAACAATGTTCTCATGTTATCAATGAACAGGAACACTCATAGAGGATTCCTGTTCATTGATAACAGGGGACACAGAAAAAGAGATTGAGGACTTTGTGTTCTCGATCTCTTTTTCTATTTTAAAAGGTAAATATCAGGGGTCTGTTTAAACCCCTAATCTTTCACTGAAGCCCCTAAAAGTAAAGTAAAAAATACAAGTACAGTAATACCTTGGTTTACGAGCATAATTCGTTCCGGCAGCATGCTTGTAATCCAAAGCGCTTGTATATCAAAGCGAATTTCCCATAGGAATTAATGGAAATTCAGATGATTCGTTCCACAACCCAAAAATATTCATATAAAAATGATTACAATAGAGTAATGTAATACTGTACAAAATATAAAGAAACATAAACCAATTACAGATACCTTCGTGGCTGGTGTGAGGGGGACAAGAGAGAGGAGGATTATTGTGTAGGACAACTTTCACTATCACTTACGGAATCACTGCTATCTCTTGGCTCAATGGAATCTTTTTAATTTCGTGAAACCTTAACAAGGAATCTATCCAATGTGACATTGTGTTGTCGTTAAACAGACTCATCACTCGCACTGCTACAGCCTTATTCGGTGGTGGTTTTCTACAAAATTTTGCTCTTATTGCAAGACATTGCTTGTATATCAAAGCAAACATTTTCAGAAATGTTTGCTTGTCTTGCAAAACGCTCTCAAACCAAGTTACTTGTAAACCAAGGTATTACTGTATTTAATAAAAAATGAATTAATAAATAAAAATGAATATAAAAAATGTAAAACGTTTATAAAAAATAAAATATTTAAAAAAATTGAAAAAATAAAAAACATTTTCGGTATCGGTTTCGGCCTGACATTTTTTTTAATTTCGGTTTCGTTTTTAAAATTTCCATTTCGGTGCACCTCTTATTGGTTCAATTATTTTCCATCAGACACCCATTAGATTTTGTTGTATTTATACACCGTATTCTTTGGCGATATTTGTCCATGTGCTTGCCAGATTGACCACATTTGCTATCCTTCATCCAACACCTGGGGTTTTCATTTTTAATAAAAAATCAAAGTAAAATTTGCAAAATGTATCTTACAGCTAATGTTATGTAATTATGGAAATAAACCTTAATATTACAAAAATATATTTTATACTGCAGTAGGGTTGATGAAAATGAAGACGCAGTCAAATGGTTCAGTCCAGGCATTTATAATCTGCTGTAGGAGTCCTAGACTGATGTATCCATTGTTGCATTGCATGTGTCAAAATCTAATGGTCATGGTAATGCGGACACTAGACAAAGCTGTTAGATAACCCCTCCCACCACAGCAGGTACTCAGTTTCACACCAGTGTCTGTAATTGATGGACATGTTTCTTTCTCTCTCTGGGAGAATATGTTTAGTCTTACTTTGATGTCTTAAGTCAAATCCTTTCACTGCATGCAGCCACCTAGGTAAAGGCTTCAGGGGCCCAATCCGGACAGCGCCAGAAGATGGCAGTCTGGCCTGTAATGTTGCTCTGGGCACTGGACCCTATGTGGGCGCTCACCTTGGCACATTGTGCAGCATGTTGGGCTAGCTGTAGGGTGTTATACAGATCCAGAGCAGTGGTGTATCCGCATTTGTGTGACCCCATCCCTTAAGACCCCTTAGGAGTCTTATTCTCACCCAAAATGAGTGAAGCTGAGGGATATTTCCTTGTCAGGTGATGAAGATGCCGGAGCTGGTGATTCCTAAGACCTAGTTCCCCTCTCTATTGGGTGATCTGTGTCTAAACCCCCCCGTTCCTGTCACTCTGTCTTTTTCTGGCTGGCCGTCCACCGTCTTCCAAAAGGGGGGACTCCAAACTAGGCTCTTTGTGCAGTGTGGCTCCAAACTAGGCTCTTTGTGCAGTTTGGCTCCCGCTTCTCTGCTGGGATTTTGCCTTCTCTCTGTCCATCTCTTTTATAAGCTCTAACAGCTCTGACCAATGTCCGATCACCTGTCACTCTGTCTTTTTCTGGCTGGCCGTCCACCGTCTTCCAAAAGGGGGGACTCCAAACTAGGCTCTTTGTGCAGTGTGACTCCAAACTAGGCTCTTTGTGCAGTGTGGCTCCCACTTCTCTGCTGGGATTTTGCCTTCTCTCTGTCCCTCTCTTTTATAAGCTCTAACAGCTCTGACCAATGTCCAATCACCTGAGGATACCGCTAACATAACCCAACCGTCTTTGTCCTGTACTGTATTCTAAGAAAAGGATTTTACAGCTAAGTCAGAAATCCTATGTTTTCTTCTCTCCAGATTTTAGTTATGAGGGAGATAGAGCATTGCCAAAACCCTCTCAAATAGGTCTTAAATGTTGACTAGTGATATCAAATAAAATAGGAGAATTTTTTTTATCATTGGGCAGTATTTTTTATGCTGCTAGTGGAAGAACACCACACATCTATAAATGCTGTGTCCCTAGATACACTCTTCCAGACGAATACTAAGTTCATAATTCCAGCTACCCAATTTATTGGGATATGGATGTGGGGCAGGCTCTAGCCCCTTTGGCCAATAACCTCAGGAGGTGTCACCCTCCCTGCTGGGAGGAGAGGTTCTAAAGTGACCATAGGTTATTTGGGCCTGCCAGTTCTGATGCCTGGATCATTGGTAGGATTTCTGATACCAGCTCATTGACCTGATCGCAACAAGTCCACTCACTGCATGGCTGCTACAAGCGGTCCCCAAATAACTGTTTTGTTGGTTTCTAGGTGATTGTATAGTCAAACCCTACAATTTTATATGGGCATGTAGCTCGTAATATCTACAGTGGGAATAAGTTTAATCTCTCTATAACTGGATTTTCTTAAAGATGAAACAGAATTCCTCTGATCTATGAAAAGGACAACCGTTCACCAGACAGAGCGGAGCCTAATGCATAGAGACCTCTTGTCTCCTGCTGTGGTGTGGTCAAAAAGTCTGCAGATGTCCACCCTTATCTGCCCAAGAACCTGACAGGAGCAATTTAACGGCTGGGTGTGAATTAGGCCCAAGATGCCTATTCAAATTCTAATGGCGGGCATCTGTCTCCTTAATTTTACTGGTCAATGAATTATAAAATATCTGTTGATATTAATCCCCTCTATAAATTGATATCACATTATGTCGATTCCCTCTATAAATTGATATTACAATGGCTTTTTACAATGTCCTAATAAAAAAGTGTAATTATATTAGCTATTTACCCAATGATGGCTGTTTTTTTTCTCTTCCAAAAAGATGATTATACAACTGTGAACATCATACGGCTCCTTGTCTCAGCGTTTGTCCTAATTCTACTGGGTGTCATCCTTGTGAAGCATTTTGAAATATTCCAGGAAACTGAAGAAAGTCCACCTGAACTTCCACGTGCTCGTAGAATGCAGGCAGAAAAGCCTGAATACACAGAGGTTAGACAGCATACTTGTCAGAAAGAACTGTTTGTTGATCTATGTGAATTTTATTGATTTATTTTTCATTTTTTGACACGTGCAAATTTAAGTTTTCCTTTACTCTTTCTCCTATTTACCATTCCTTTCTCTTCTCCCTTTGAAAATCCCCCCCTTAGTGTTATTTACTTATTTACTATATATAGCACCTTCATCTTCTGTGGCATTAATATAAAATATCAGGTATAACAAAATCGAGTAGTATTTTGTAACACAGTATAAAAAATGTATAAAATTTAATACATACAGTTGTACAGCAAAATGTAGTATAGTAAAAACTTTACTATTACACTAGGTGGGCAAACTGACTCAGCAACTGCTTTAGTCTCAATAAACCTACTCCTAAGGTCAAGAAAAAACATGGAGCTAATGCTTGCCTTTAAACATTAACACATGAGCATTTATTTTTACATTAAAACAACACAATTGTGATGACAAAACTTACTCATAACACATAACAATAAAAAAATACACGAGCATACCTTTTACTCTGGCTCAGAACTTAAGCAGATCTAAAGAACATGATCAAACTCTGTTTTAAAAAGTTCATGCCTGTAGTATTGCAGGTGTATGGATACATTTAAAGAAACACTAGAGTCTTCCAGTTACAGAGAAACTAGGAAGTTTCAAGCATCACGGTATGCAAGCTCTGCAAGGCTCCTGGCCAGTAAGCCATGGCTAGATTTAGAGTGTACAAGGTAACAATCTGTACAGATGCCTGCTAAGTCACCAATGGTAGGTGTGGGTCAACAATTTTTTTGTAGCGTTAGTATAATGGAAATTTAGATTTCCCAATACAATAATATTACAGAAAATTGTTACCTGATACTTACTGTACTTTTCCTTTCCTGGCTCATCCTCATGTCAGCATACTGCAGGGTCAACCCACCCCCTTGACTGCCCAGGAGAGCCCTAGCAACAGGTTCCCTAACCAGCTAGCAAAAGGACACCAGGTCAGGAACATATGTTGGCATGAGGATGAGCTAGGAAATGAAAATTATGGTATCAGCTAACAGTTTTCCGTATTCTTGGCTCACCTAATGTCAGCATATTGTGGAACATAAAAGCAAAACAAAGAGAGGGAGGGAAAAAATGCAGACACAAAAAATAAGCTAAAAAGAATGTATTGCCGTAAGGCTGCAGATAGGACCAGGGTGTTAGGAAACCAAGAAAAAAAAAAAGTTTATTAAAAATAACAAACAAAATTGAAAAAATGATGGAGAAAGTCCAGGACGCCGTCGGTGCCAAGCCAGAGGTCAGCTGCCAAAGCGGGTAGTAAGCCAAACCAGGTCAGGGAACACTGAGAGCAGGTTAAACATAAACAATAGGGAGTCAGGAACTAGGAGATCAGTAAGCCAGAGCCAGGGTCATACACTGAGAAAGGAACAACCGCAGAGCACCTGATAAATCTGAACACACACAAAGGGGGAGACTAACTGGACAAGCTGTTGGTTAAATAGTGAATTGGTGTTGCAGCATCACTCTGAGACAGGAAGTTGTCAGGAGTTTTGTTATAGTTGCAGTATGATGATATTTATGGGTTTGGTCATAAGAGGGTGCCAAAGAGGAACGAGCAGTGTCAGGCACACTGCAACAGAAGACAAGCTGCAGCTCAAAAGGACAAGGAAGGGTAAGAAACCCTGAAACAAGGAACCAAACCTAGCCAACTGAGCAAACGCCACATACAGCTTGTAACTGCAAACAAAGGTGTTCAGGAACTCCATCTGGACTTTTGCAGATAGCCCCCACTGAAACGTTGGCATAGGAAGCCCATGATGTGGAGACTACCTTTATACAGTGGGCCCATACTTCAGCCAGTAGAAGTAAGCCCTTTTTGGTGTAAGCCATTCTAATAGCCGCCTGGATCCAAGAGCATAATATGCTAGGAGTTCCGTTCTTCAGACCACATGGTAAGAGAAAGAGACTGTCAGTTTTCCTGAAGTTCTGAGTTCTTTCTAAATACAATTAAAACAGCTTCACCATATCCAAGGAAGTTAAGAGATCTGCCTAATGCATCAAAGGGTCTTGCGCAAATGCTGGAAGTACAGTCTCCCAATTTGAATTAAAACTAAATGCTACTTTAGACCGAAACTCCAGAGATGGATAAAGAATTACTTTATCAGTGAGAAGAATACAGAAAGGTTTTTTGCAGGATAAGGCATTTAGCTCTTCTACTCACCTGGCTGATGTAATTGCCATCAAGAAAACTGTTTTAGGTTAGTTAGGAGTTAGGAACCATAAGGAACAATCTTCCAATGGAACAAAAGGAGGAAGAGTCAAAGATTTCAATACATGCCCAAATCCCAAGAAGGAAATAATGTCTTCTTTTGTGGCTCCAACCTGATTGCTGCTCTCATAAAATACTTCAGTAACTGTTCTTCCACCCACCCTACACCTGTTAAACAGGATAGTGCTGAAATTTGAACTTTCAAAGAATTGTAGTTAGTCTATTGTCCAAGGCTGTTTGTAAAAACTCTAGGACTGGCTTATAAGACAGTTTCTAGTCTTATCGACTAGAAAACAATTTATTTCACAAAGCACAAAAAACTGTCCCAGATCCCATTGTAGGTGGTACTAGAAGACTTCCTAGACTTTAGCAAGGTATCAATAATTATTGTCCCCCTATACCACTGAGCCTTTAAGCTAGTTGATTACAAATTCAGGCTGTTAGATGAAGCTGCGTTGGGTATGGATGCTGCCAATGTCTCTAAAGTCTTTCCTGGCCAGCAGAAACCAAGAAGGAGCTGAGATCATATACAAAAGAAGTGGGAAACAAGACCTTCTCTGCCAGAATGTCAGGATGATGATGACAGACCGTGCCTGAATGTTCTCGAGAACCTTTATTGCCAGTGGGAAGGAAAGATGTAAGCGAAAAGGAAATCCCAAGTCATAGAGAAGGTATCCTATTTCAGCAAGTCTTCTACGTAAGCTAGTAAAGACTTCCTCTTCAAGGGTCTGCAGGAATAGTTATTTCTACGAAAGGAGGAGGAGGAGGTTTTAGGAACTCTTTATTAAAAGATTCCTTATCCAACTATCCAAAATTTCCTCCACCCAGGTTCTTTTTAATTGAGCCAGCCTTGCTCCCTTGTCTGTGGATCTGCTGCCTAGGCTGCATTGGGGTTGATCCCACGCAAAAAGAAGCTCTGGATATCCTTCCATTGAGGTCTATTGTACTGTTGTCCAGACCTATAAGACTTGGAGTCTCAAAACCTTTGCTGTGATGATTGGCCAGCACAAAACAACTGTTGTTTCTGTTTACCACAAATTTTCCCAAACAATGTTTTAACATTAGTAATGGCACATACAGGTGAAACTCGAATAATTAGAATATCGTGCAAAGTTAATTTATTTCACTAATCCAACTTAAAAGGTGAAACTAATATATGAGATAGACTCATTACATGCAAAGCAAGATAATTAAAGCCGCGATTTGTCATAATTGTGATGATTATGGCTTACAGCTCATGAAAACCCCAAGAACCCCAAATCCACAACCTCAAAAAAGTAGATTATTACATGCAATCAATAAAACAAGGATTGTACATAGAACAATATCGGACCTCTGAAAAGTACAAGCATGCATATGTACTCAGTACTTGGTTTGGGCCCCTTTTGCAGCACTTACAGCAATTACTTTTGCATGATATTCTAATTATTCGAGTTTCACCTGTAAATCCTGTTTGGATGTTGAATCGGCTACCCAGTATCTCAGTCATAAGGCTCTTTTAGGGGTAATGGAATGCAACATCATGCATGCTGATAAACCATAGCCATAACATAACATAGGGTATAACATGAAGAAAAAAAAGAAAGGATAAATAGAAACTAGAAATATATCCATCATTGCCAGACCTTGTACACAAAATTTATTCTGCAATTACTTCCCAGCACCAATGGGAACCCTGCATCAGGTGGGTTTACCACCAACAGGAGGGTCATCCAACTTGAGAGACGCTAAACCCAGGTGGGCACTGCAGTAGGGAGGATCCAAAGAAGTCAACAAAAATAAAGGAAAGAAAAAAGGGGTTAAAGGTGTCCTGGAGTGAGGGCCAAAAAAGAACATGTTGCTAGGGTTATCTCTCCCTTTTATCTCTGTTAGGGGCAATCCTGGGGGTCAAGGGGGCGGAGTTGACCCTGCAATATGCTGACATTAGGTGAGCCATAATTTATTTATAAATTTGAAAGTGGTATTACTCTATCTCTATTCAATCTCTTAGGCCTTGTTCACACCAAGCGCGGAGCAGATCCGGACCAGAGCAGGTGCAGACCGGATCAAAACTGCGTCCAATGTATTCCTATGGTATTTTGACCTCCAGTTCACATCGCAGCGTGCGGATCCAGACCAGATCCAGACCGGATGAAAAAAATGCGGCAAGCCCTATTTTACCTGCTCTGGATCTGGTCTGGAACGCATCAAAAACGCATCAAAAACGCATCAAAAACGCATGCAAGTGCCTGAAAGCCCATGTTAAACTTAAAAAAAAAATACATTTTTTTTTGCCAAAACCAGCCCTAAACACATCAAAAACGTGTCTAAAAACGCGTCTAAAACGCGGCACAACCCACTACACTGCGTGTGCAGAAACCTGACCGGATCTGGTCTGCATTTGGTGTGAACAAGGCCTTACCCACATCTTCAACCTCTCCTTTTGCACTGGCATCGTCCATGCACCGCTAAAACAAGCATTGGTGAACCCCATTTAAAAAAAGCTCTCAATGGAGCCTACCAGTCTGAACAATTTAGGACCCATTTCCTTGCTCCCATTCAGCTCAAAAACCTCTTGAACACCTGGTCTACAACCGCCTGAGCCACCAACTTACTGCTAACAACCTCCTGGACCCCTTTCAATCTGGCTTCTGTCGGCAACACTCCACAAGAACTGCCCTTCTAAAACCTACTACTGATTTACTAACCACTAAAACCAAAGGTCACTACTCTGTTCTTATACTCCTGGACCTTTTTGCTGCTTTTAATACAGTTGACCACACACTCCTCCTCAATACACTCCAATCCCTTGGACTCCAAGACTCTGTTCTCTCATGGTTCACCTCCTACCTATCCCAGCGCACCTTCACCATCACCTATAACTCTCCTTACTCCTCTCCTCTTCCTCTATCCATGGGGGTCCCCCAAGCCTCTGTCCTTCGGCCTCTTCTATTCTCTATCTACACCCCCTCCCTGAGTCAGTTGATAACCTCCCATGGCTTCCATTACCATCTCTATGCTGACAACACCCAAATATATCTCTCTACCCCTCAGCTCACCGCTTCTATCTCCACATGCATCACTAACCTACTCACTGACATATCTCCAAGGATGTCACACCACTTCCTCAAACTAAATCTGTCCAAAACTGAGCTTATAATATTTCCTCCTCTCCATGTTCCCTCCCCCAACTTCTCCATCACAATCAACAGCGCTACAATCAATCCCTCCCATGAAGCCAGGGTGCTAGGAGTAATCCTTGATCCTGAGCTCTTCTTTCAGCCCCACACCCAATCACTATCCAAATCTTGCCGACTAAACCTCCTTTGAATTTCCAAAATCCGTCCCTTCTTAACACATGATACCACAAAGCGTCTAATTCACTTCCTTGTAATATATCGCCTTGACTACTGTAACTCCCTCCTTGTCGGCCTACCACTAAGCAGGCTATCCCCCCTTCAGTCCATCATTAACACTGCTGCCAGACTCCTCCACCTTACCAACTGATCAGTGTCCGCCACCTCCCTCTGCCAGTCGCTCCACTGGCTCCCATTTCCGCAACGTATAAAATTCAAAATACTAACAATAGCTTACAGAGCCATCTATAACTCCGCCCCAACCAACATCACCCACCTCATCTCAAAATATCACAGAAACCGCCCCCTTGGTTCTTCCTAAGACCACCTGCTCGCTCTCCAGCTCTCGTCACCTCCTCGCCTCCAGGATTTTTAAAGAGCGTCTCCCATCCTCTGGAACTCCCTACCCCAATCTGCCCGCCTATGTCCTACTCTGTCCACCTTTAGGCGATCCTTGAAAACTCATCTCTACAGGGAGAAATCACAATGCAGTCGTGAGTGGCCAGCACACTGGGCCCCACCGGTGTGACCTCTCCCCCTCAATATGAAATTAGTAACAAACAAAAGGAGAAAAGATAGGGGTTTCTGAGAGGTATTACACCACAGCTTCAAATCTTTTTGTATAAAATTAATTTTATTATACATGTACCATAAATATATATACAAAAAACAGACAACAGTAAATTGAAAAAAAACTTAAAATAGATTCATTGTATCAGGAGCGTATACCCATGAATCAAGCTGTGCATAACAGTTGTGGATCAAATAAATATTCGTTTTTAGATCAGTGTGTTCAATCCCTACACATTTCGAAGCTTTGCTTCATCAGGGGATTTCTAAACTGATCTATTAGAAAATAGTATGTTTGGGGGCGTGGCCTGAACATGGCGTGAGAGGACGTGAGTAAGGAGAGCTCCGTGGAGTGATGGAGTAATTACCAGTTGATCTTCTCATCAGACTCCATTACGCCCCATGTCAAGAGGTACCAGGAAGACGCGGACCCCCCGCGCCCCTCCACGCCCGCGGGTACAGGCCCGATTGGACCCCTTTCTGTCCCAGCCGTCCGGGGGAGTCAGGGCCAGGAGTCAAGCCACGCGGTCATCGGGCTCCGGGCCTACAGCGTGGCGAGTGGAAGTGCCGGGACGGTCACCGGCCGCGACCCAGACACACTCCTCTCCGCAGGATGGAGCAACCACCATCCCCCTCCAGCTCCTTACCTGATCTGATGTTGGGGCTTGAGGCATTGACATCTCAGGGGCTCCCGCAAGCGACGGGTGGATCGGACATATCCAGCAGACCTGACCTATGTGCCATGCTGGCGGCGCTCCCGACCAGGGACGACATGCAGGCTATGATCTCCCAGATTGCAGCCACCCTCCGCGCGGATCTAGCAGAGGTAAAGGAGGGGGGTTGCCCAGCACGCACAGCGCATAGAGGCCTTAGAGACGGCAGATTCCGTGATATTGGCGCGAGTTTCCCAGTTAGAGGAGGCCGTGCTGACGCAGAAGGCCCAGTCGATCCAACTAGCTGGAAGACACTGAAAATCATAACCGCCGCAACAATTTGCGGCTGAGGGGGATCCCAGAAGCCACAGGGGGACAGGACCTGAGGGCAGCTGTAACAGCTATATTCAATGGCCTACTAGGTAAGCCCCCGACAGATCAGCTGGAACTGGATCGGGTACACAGGACCCTGGGCCCCAGAGGACCCGATGTCAACAGGCCTAGAGATGTGTTGTGCCGTGTGCACTTTTTCAATGTTAAGGAGGAAATCCTCCGCAATGCGTGGAGACAGGGTGCAGTGGACTTTGATGGAGCTGATGTCCAGATCCTGCCTGATGTGTGCCCGCAAACCTTAAACCGTAGGCGCCTTCTCAAGCCCCTTACGGACCATCTCCAAGCGGGCGGTGTCCCTTATCGTTGGGGTTACCCATTCTCTCTGATGATCGGCAGAGGAGACAGGTCCTTTAGACTGACCCACCCACGCCGACTGCCAGACCTGATGGACTTTCTTGACTGTGCACCACTCTTGCTACCAGACTGGCTGGACATTCCTTCGGCTGAGGCCCACTGAAACGAGATCACCTGTGTGCCTTATGGGAACTATATGGGAACTATATGTGTTTACTGGTTACCTGACTCACAACCCCTGTTGGGGCTACAAGGGGAAATGTGTAGCGCTCCTCTGAGTTGGTTTGACAGGAGTTGGGAGGGGCCCATTGCCACTGGGGCGTTTGGCTGTCCAACGTTGTGATATATTCTCCATATCTCACTCTGTTGGCTGCTGTGTTTAGCCTTTTCCCCCAAGTTTCAGGCGTTTCCTCTCCGTGTTGGAGTTAACCCATAGGAACGCCTGGGTTGTAACTGTCTATTTCTACGTTGTGTGTCTTTCTTTCTTTCCTGCACTAGGGTCGGACATAGCCTCACCCTCGGTGCGACTAGTGCTCTATACTTCTCTCTTCTCTTTATCTCTAGCTGTCGTGTCCTCGTGTGAATCCAGTTCCCCAACCAGTGTCTTTGTCTAGTCTTCCTTAGTGTTTGTCTGTGCCCGGTCCCGGGACACCGAGAGCTCACCACCGAGAGGGTAAAACCCGAGGCCGTGCGCCTGACCAGCTGGACTAGCCTGGAGAAGTCATTGCGGGCCCACCAGAAGCAAAACCACGGGAGCGGTGAGTTACACCACACATCATGCCGATTGTCAATGTCACCTCCTTTAATGTTAGGGGGCTCCAGGTCCCAGAAAAGAGATCAAATCTATTGAACGAGCTGTGGAGACAAAGGTCTCATGTAGCATTCTTACAGGAGACCCATTTCAAGGTTGAGCATATCCCCAAACTAGGGAATCACCGATATTCCACTTCTTATCATGCCACCTCCCGGGACTCTAAATCAAAAGGGGGGACCTTGATGGCCACAGGGTGACCTTTGCCACAGTGTATGCCCCAAACTCTGGACAGGTGACTTTCCTGGAATCCTTCTGGGAGCAGGTGAAGATGTTCGCGGAGGGACTATGGATATTAGGGGGAGATTTTAACATGGTACTAGACCCCACGTTAGACTCCACAAGGGGAATTTCACAAATCTCGCACACCCAGCGGAAGAGAGTCAAACGGTCATTGTTTGAACTTCAACTAGTGGATCTCTGGCGCATTAACGATCCCACTGGCAGGGACTACACGCATATGTCAGCCCCGCACCAATCCTACTCACGCATAGACTTCTTTTTGCTCCAACACGCGCCGCTGCCCCTTCTCTCCAGCACCTTCATAGGCACTTCGGCCCTATCCGATCACTCCCCAGTACACATGAGTATACTTGTGGGGAAGGGTATTCGCTCGCCGTTTACGTGGCGGCTGAACGAATCCCTATTGCAAGACGACACTATCCTGGCCGACCTTAAATCAGAGCTGGCACTCTACTTCAGGGACAATGCCTCCCCGGAGCAGGATCCGCTTATCCTATGGGAAGCCCACAAATGTGTTATGCGTGGGGTGCTGATCAAAATAGGTGCCCGGAGGAAGAGGCAGTGACTGCAAAGAATCGATGCCTTATATGCCCAGTTGAGAGACTGGGAGTTGCGTCACAGGACTGCTTTAGATGAGGACACTCTGACCGCCCTGACCCAGACTCGTACAGAACTCAGAGATCTCCTGTTGGAGGGGGTACGGGCCCAGTTAGGAAGAGCACGGCGCACGTTTTATGAATTTAGGAACAAGCCTGGGAAGCTCCTAGCACTTGCCCTGAGAGATGTCGGATTCCGTACGTATATACCATCCATCCGTTCGTTGGAGGGTGCATTAGTCTCTAAATCCAAAGACATAGCAAGACAATTCCACTCGTTCTACTCTGCCCTCTATAATTTACATCAGGACACTGGACAGTCGGGGTCCCCAGAACGGACACGGGCGATCGGAGCATACCTGACTAGCTCGGGCATGCCCCGCCTGCCCGAGTCGGTTGCACTGAGTATGGAGGTCCCTATCTCGGTGGGGGAATTTGAAGCGGCCCTGAAATCTATGAAACCGGGGAAGGCACCGGGACCAAACGGACTAACCCTAGTATACTACAAAGCCTTTCAGGAGCTCCTAGGGACCCACTTCTCAGAGGCCTTTAATTCACTCCCCAAGGGAAACACACTGCCCCGAGATGCCCTTAGGGCTCAAATCACGGTAATTCCTAAGGCAGGGAAAGACCCCACTCAATGTGCTAGTTACAGGCCCATATTACTGCTGAATACTGTCACGTCACGTCACTTCACAGTCTGTTACTCTAGTTGAGTGTATTCGGATCCATTCAGACAGCTCCGTTGTTGCCTTCTTGTGTGGGACTTGGTGTAATCTCTTCTCTGTTGATGTCATGGAGATCTGCACATGTGCTGTTCTGACAGAGCCAGCCCTGGGGAATAGTGCAGGGGGGTTAATTAATGAGTGGCACCAGGTTGGACGCTGCAGCTGCAAGCTATGTCAGATCTTGCTTATAACGGCATATGCCCCAGAGGGGAAGATGGTGAGGAAGGAGAGACGGGGGTTGTGCTAACTCAGTCAATGTGTTTCCATTCTTATATTTTCTGCTTTTGGCTTTTGTCTGGGCAACACATGGGAGGCTTGGTGTTTGCAAGTGACAGCTCTAGATGATTGCCCCTCTTGTCAGACAGGTCACTGGGGGCAGCTCTGCTCCCCATCCCAGCGAGTGATAACTCAACAATAACTCTTTATGTTCCATGTGCCTGTACAAGTGGTATTGCATTACATCCCAGCAAGACTGCCTTTGTAACAACAGGGTTAATCTCAATCAGTGGCGACTCTAGGAACAATATTTAGGGGGGGCACATAAGATACCACAGTCAGATCTGGGGGGGCACTAATAATTTTCATTGCATGTCGCAACCGATGGGCGCCGAGAGCTGATTTAATTGCGGATAGCATCTGCGTCCTGCAGTTGCGACAGAAGCTGCATACAGCGTGTGCTGGTTACTACTTAAACTGGCGCGCTGTATAAGTTTTGGGCACCAGCTGCTTGCTGCTACTGTGCTGATGCAGAATCAGCACAATAGCAGCAAGCAGGTGGTACCAAAGGCTGAATAGGGGTCCGACGCTGGGGTGGGGGAAGCCTTTGCAGAGATCAGTACAGTAGCAGCAAGCAGGTGGTGCCAAAGGCTGAATAGGGGCCGACGCTGTGGTGGGGCGAGGGAAGCCTTTGCAGAGAACAGCTGCTGTCCTCTGCAAAGGCTTGGCCCTCACCCCAGGGTCGGGCACCTATTCAGTCTTGAGCACCAGGC